TGGGCAAGTCGTTGCTGTTCGTACAGTCGAGGCCCGGACCCGATGTGTACTTGTCCAGCGCCGACGGGTCCGGATGTTTGCACAGCCATAGCACCAAATGTTGGGCAAATTTGGACGCTTTTTGCGTGAATGGCTTTAAGACACTCTCGATCTAATTTGGTGTCATTTTGTTTGTTTAATTGAGTATATGGTATGACATTTATTATTACAATAAGGTAATCATTTTAGACCTTGATGGCGTGCCTTTTCTCCGGGTAGTCTATTTTGAATATTTTACACCAATTAAATGTTTTAGTCTTGAGATTTATCTGTAAATTATGTGTTTATTATTTTATTAAAATCTATTTTATATGACATTTTAATGTCTGCCAAACCTTTGCTATTAAATCCTTTTCGGTTTCGTTAATACAATTAATAGATATTATATTTGCTGCTAAATTAATAACAATTAACACTAAGAATAATTTTGACATTTTAAAAATAAAATACTATTTCACTATTAATAGTGAATAACTAGTAATTAATTGAATGTTTATTTAATCATTTCAAATGAGAGCACAAATATGGAGGACAAAGTTTGTAATAACTTAATTAAATTTAGTATATTATTAGTATATTATATACAGGTAAGTATATTTCTCATAATATTTACCATCAAATTTTTATTTAGTTATATTATACAACATTTTAAAATAACCTCCCAATTAACTAATTAATTTCAACAGTAATAAATCCAACTTTATTTATGTGCTTAATCATATACAATAATTATGTAATTTATATTATTCACTATTATATTTATTAAATTAAAGTATTAAATGTTAGGTCTAACTTAAAATTGTTTGCGATCCTTAATTTGATTCATGCTTTAGCCCAAATTACTCTAGGTCCATCTCTAGGAGGATTGTAGCGACCCCTATTTGGGTACATTCCCTTATATTCCCTATTACCATCTCTATCTTTATCCATATCTTTATCCCTATCTTTATTTCTATCCAAATCGCTGTCTCTCCTTTTGTCTCTATCCCTATCCTTATCTCTATCTCCATCTCGATCCGTGTAATTATAAAAACTATCCCGGTTATACTTGTAATCACTGTCCCGATACTGGTTATCCCTATCACCACTACTGTTATACCTATATTCCCTGTCTCTATCGTTATATTTATCACGATTTCTATCATGATCTCTATCCCTATCTCTATCCCTACTCCTGTCTCTATCCCTATCCCGAACAGAGCTATATCGGTCTCTATCCCGATCCCAATCGCGATCCCTATCCCGATCATAGCGATCACTACTCGGATAAAACGAGTCCCTATAGCCGTCTCGATCACTATCGGTGTATCGTTTCCTTCTCTTCAGATCTCTACGCGTCTTATTATTACGGCTTTGTCTGTCGGCTAACCATAACTTAAAGCCCACGACAGCGTCTTTGCCAATAGACTTCTTGTCGGCGACATTGATGTGTGCGCTAAGCATAAGGTATTTAACGTATGGATTGTTGGTTAGGGTATTGTCTCGCGTGTAATCCATGTCTAACATATGGTCCATATTATTGTCATCGATAAGTGGGTGAAAACATGAGCGGTAGTCGACAGGTATTTCAACCGTATTCGTACAGTCAATGCCCGCGTCGTTGAGGTATTTGTTGAGCGCCGACGGGTCCGCGTGTTTGCATTGCCATAGTTTCAAGTCTTGTGAAATGTCTACATATTGTGCCTTTTTAGCGGATTTGACTGTATTTTCAATCTATAAAATTTTAAATAAATATTTAGCGAAATCTCTATACAATTAACTTATATATTAATAATAATAGTAATATTTTGCATACCTTTACCACAAGCTTATTTTGCGGGTAACTGACCATAAATATTTTACACCAATAAAATGCATTTGCCTTAAGATTTATCTGTTTAAAAGTAAAAATGTTTATTAGTATCAATATTAATAATACAATTTCATTAATACACAAACCTTTGCAGTTAAATCATATAATTCTATTTTATTTTTACCATGTATTGACAATGCGTTTACAATCAAATTTATAATGATTATTTGTGTTAATATCATTATAAACACAATAATTGTGTAGATAATTATTATCTATATACAGTACTAATAATTAGCTCTATACCTCATGTTTAATTTAAATTAAATGTTTATTTAGTAATTTTATAACAGTTAATTAGTCCAATACGGTCTAATATAAAGACCATATTTTTATGTTAAACAGTATTATTAGTTATCTATAAACTTAACCATAATTTGCAATCAATTATATCATTAATATTTATATAATACAACAACTATATCATTATTTATTAATAACTTATAGTTGTTGTATTAAATATTCATCAATATTAATAATCATAACTAATTTTGCTTTAATCTCTGTAACTTTTAATTAATTTTATAATTAAATTAATAATTAAAAAATGTTCTTAAATAAATTTCTTACATTTTAATTAAATAATATAAAACATTTAATATGTAAAATATAAATACAAACAGTTTTAATTCTGCATATTTTTAAATTCATACAATATAAATGTGCACAAAATTCAATATATTTTATAAATTAAATTATTTTACAATATACATTATTAATTGTGCACAATGTTCACCGTGTTAATTTTTTGTTTCCTTAATTGTGTTTTTCCAAACATCCTAGAGCATTCGCAATTTTTTTTCCCTTTCCCACTCACTCTCCCCTTCCCTAACCCTATCCCTATCTCTCTCCCTATTTCTCTCCCTTTCCCTCTCCCTTTCCCTCTCCCTTTCCCTCTCCCTTTCCCTCTCCCTTTCCCTCTCCCTTTCC